CTTGGAATTCTGTGGCTCAAGTCCTGCCTCCTCCTAGGAACCTGCCCTGTTCAGATGTTTCTTTTTCTTTTTTCTTTCTTTYTTTTTTTTTTGTTGTAGATGGACACAATATTTTTATTTATTTATTCATATTTCTTTTTTTATCCTTAAAGAGCTCTAGTTATTATTCTCTATATTACTCACTTGACAATGGACACGAATGCTGTGAACTGTTATCTATCTAGAAATAGGTGCCTTGTCCCACTGCATTATTTATAAGCTGCTCTTGAAGGAGGCACGATTGTATATCATTTGGTTTCCCCACAGACCTCACACCACGCCTTTACTGCAGCTTGTGCCAGTGAAGAGTGGCTGGAGTTTGGCCCCTTCTGTGGGCTGCAGCATTCAAAGAGCCAACTCCAACCACGGAGACTGAGCACAAATATGCCCTCATCCATTCCTGTTCTGTGGAGTACAGGGAAAATTCCTGCTGGCAAGGTTATTGAACACTTGAGTCATTAACCTCAAAGTGCATTACATCAGCCAACACATATTCAGGAAGCTTTGTTTTGCTGAAGTGGGAATTACATCTTAGACTTTGACATTTCTTTGTGTTCTCCAGAGCACCTTCCACRTGATAAGGATTCATCACGAAAGACAGTAAGCAATTTGAACATCAAATATGACCTCTTTTGAAATTCACCAAATAGATGGCTGCTTTTCTTTTCTCAGCAGATTAGGTAGGGAAGACAAAGTGGTACAAATCTTCACTCCTCTTTTTAACAGTAGTCAGGTAAGTAATTTCTCAAAGCTTTGGTTTCCTCAACTGCAAAACTGAAACCCCAAAACCGATTGTATGGTGAACAAATGAAAAACTTAGACATTTTTAAAAAYTAGCATACTACAGTGATACATGCCTAGTCATGTAKATAGCAGTATACAATTCACAATAGCTGAACTATGGAACCAACCTAGGTTCCATGAATACATGAATGGATAAAGAAAATGTAGTATRTATGTGCAATGGAGTTTTATACAGCCTTAAAAAATGAAATTATGTCATTTTCAGAAAAATGGGTGGAACTTTAGGACATTATGTTAAGTGAAATAAACCAAAGTCAAAAGGTCAAGAGTTCTGTGTTTACTTTCATAGTTGAAACTATGAAAACTAGAGAAGAAGAAAAAGCGGAAAAGTGAAAAATTTTTAAAAAATCAGCAGAATAGAGGAAAAAAGACCAAGGGGTGGGAGGAGGGGATAGAGAGGAAAGGACTGGGGAATTATTTTGATCAGATTATAATGTTATATTATGTGTATGTATGAATACCTAATAACAAATCACACCACTGAGTATAAATATAATGCACCCAAAAAATGTGCAAAAAAAATAAGGATGTCTTTTGACTCATCAGTACTGCACAGAATACAGAGTATCAAAAAGAGTCAAGCAAGATTTGCTTCTCTGTGAGTTTAACAAGCACGTTAAACTGTGGGGCTCAGGCTTTCAATTGTAACATGTGAGAGTTGATTTAGGTTGTTTTGTTTATTTTCATTAATTTTCTTTTTAATTGACACATAGTGTACTATTTGGATTATTTTTAAAGATTCTACAAGGATTAAGGAGTCCATGACTCTGCAATTTCAGCATCAATTGTCAAGGAATTCTAACGTTTTAATTTTTTCACTCCTTATACCAAAAGCCAAACAAGTCATCTAATGCACAGAGACTCATATTATTTTTTCCAAAAGAATAATCCAACCTGATATATGTAATTGCCCGGATGTATGGGTTTTCACGGTTCTGCTTTGGATGTTTCAAATAGGAAGTACCTTGTAGCATGGCCTGGAGTGGCAGGTCTTTCTCACAGCTCCTCTCCTTCATTCCTGCAGGGAGAGGGAGAGTTGTTAATCACCACGTGGGCATCCAGTCTCGGTTGACAGATCTCCCATGTGGAAGTGGAAAGCTCCCCACTGTAATGTGTGCTCTGCCTACCGACACCTTGCTAGTGACAAGACATCTCCTTCTGAGAGCTTCTGTAAGTGAGCACTCATGTCATGCCAGCTTGAAATGAGTCCACYGTAGAACTGGGAGATTCAAAGACAGAAAGTTGAACAAGGGTTGAAAGTAAAGGCTTGGGCTTGGATGGGATGGTGGGAGTGAGGGAGCTGAGAATCAAACGGGGAAGTGCAAGGTCAGCTCAGTGAAGGGCTGGCATAGGGCTCTCGGCCCTGCTATTGAACTTTTATCTTTGTTATTTTATTTAATTATCACACTTAAAGATTGGGGATAAATTTTGAACTTTTCACTTCTTTGTTCCTCAGGCTAAACCCAGGTTCCTCATGATGGGCATGTTCACATACTCATTTCATGCTATYGTCACAGTTTACCCTGTGTGTTGGGTGCAGAGAGGCTAAATGACATCTCTGAAGCCAGACAACTGATGAGAAGAATAAGGATCTTGGTCCAGCTCTTGATACTAAAACTAGTATTGTTGTATACCCACTTGCACTCAAATATTATCCTTTTCTGAGGTGATTTCAACAGAAAATAGACCTATGTAGCATCAGGTCTTTAACTCTTAGAAGATGCACACCTTTCGGCCTCACCTGGAATGTAGGGGCATAAAGAAACACACCCAGAAACTCACCTTCCTGCGTCCTATAACAGTTATGACATATGGATTCCAAACCTCTGTCTTTCATCCAGATCTAGAGGCTTAGCTATGAGGAAAGTTTTTGCTCGGGGTAAGCATAGAAGAAGGAAGAGAAGATGAGGATGAAAAGGAGGAAGAGAAAACAGAGAGGGGAGAACAGGAAGAGGAGGAAATGTCAACCACATCAAGTGGGGGACACAGCTGAATGGAGTGGAATGCACTTGGTGCTATGGGAGCTGCTCCCAGCTCATCTCCAACTCTAGCACTCMGGAGCCATGGAACCTCCCCTAAGTCCTGGAAGGACGCCTATGTACAGAACATCCTGGTCTTTAGAGGCTGTTCTTCTGTGTGCTGCTGCATGAGGCTACCTGCTAAAGAAGTGGGGAGGCAGGAGAGACAAGGCAGCTACAGGTTGTCCGGACCATGGAGTCAGAAGCTCCTGATCTTTCCAGGTGATGGTGGCCATGTGCCAGGGAAAACTTTTCCTACAGGTTGGCCACCTGTTCCAAAAGTCCTTCTTTGTTCCTTTCTCCACCCGACCTATGATTTACCCTCCCCAGAAAGAGTCTGCCCTGTGAGTGATAGTGTCCGAGAGTCTCAAAACTAAGTTGATCTTCTAAGCCACCTGATTTAGACAAGGACGATTTCTGGGCTTCACATTTRAACTAAAAAAATTAATTTGTTTGCTTTGGGAGAGTTTTTGTTTTTCTTTTTACATGCCGAAGTCCTGAACTGCATGGAGACTTAGATTAATTATAGCTAAAAACACCATCAAGCAGTTGATATGTGAGAAGCAAAATGAATCGCTCTCTACCCACGCACACACATTTGCTCACACCATTTAGCACATGAAACAAGACCTAAAGGTGGACTAGCACTRTGCATTATCACATCACCCATCTTAAGAAGTAAGTTTCCAGGCAGATTGTTTTTCTGGGCAGATTTTTTAACATTCTGATAGCACCTAATTACAGAGCATTAGAAGGCAACAAGAATCCAAAAGTGAGATGAATTACTAAAAAACAAATAATGATAATAATAAGTAAAAGCAAAGAGGGCCTAGAAAACTATTATGTGTATCCATAATAGACTTATCGAACTTAAAGGTAATGTGAAATGTAATAATTTAATTCAGAAGACAAATATCTTCTTTCACAGCCCTTGGAAAAACTGCTTTTATTCTCCAAATCTTTTKCGAGCTTTGGTAATTAAGCTAGACAGAAACCAAATGCGTAGAACAGAGCACAGTTTCTCTAAAGAAAGGTATGTTTCTTCAGGTTAAATTATGAGTAATTCACCTACTGAAACTGCTTCATCCTTCCATATAAAAGGCAGTTTGTTTTTAAATAATAGTTATTATTATTATATAATRACATAATGATRTAATATAATAATAGTGATTTACCAGAATGACCTCAGAACTTCAGTTGAAGGAGATGTAGGATAGTGTGGCACAGAACCTGTGAGAGAGTGGAAATGTAAGTGGGGCTGAAGTGTGGAAGGATTTAACCCCAGATCATCTGTCTTTTGGTCCAGTGCCCTCTCCTTGAAATTGCCACCTTTGCTGAAACCTTAAAGCCACTGAAGCGGGGCACATAACTGTAATCCTAGTAACTCAGGAGGCTGAGGCAGGAGGACCATAATTTTGAGGTCAGTTTTAGTAACTTAGGAGGACTCTATCTCAACATGAAAAATTAAAAAGTGTGGGGATATAGCTCAGTGGAAAAAGTGTCCCTGGGTTCAATCCCCRGTACCATAAAAMTAAATAAATAACATRATCACTGAAGCATCTTTTGTCAGCATTAAACAATTACATGTTAATCAGAAATTTGACCAAAAAAATGGTTTAAGGAAATGGAAGTGCTAGTTATCCTAATTGGATCTTTACCTATTGTTTAAGTGTATTAAATTATCACATGATAATCCATAAATATATATAATTGAAATAATCATGAATTAAAAAAAGAAACTAACTTTCAAATCCATAGGCCAAAGAATTTCAAAACACAATACTGTGCATTGTGGTTGACAAATATTACAAATGAAGATATGATCCTTATTCCGAATTTAATAGTGAATGGAAATTATCTTACAGTTAAAAATAGGGAGGGGAAATTCAGTACATTCAGCTATAGCCTTTAATCTTCTGCTTTAAACCACATCAAGAAGCTAACAGGAAGGGTCTGAATGTCCCAGGTAGTTGTTCTCTAAACCTAAGATTATCTTCCTGAGTGAGACATTTCGAGGTGCTGCTTTTCACAACTTCTCTTCACTGAGGAAATAACCACTGTTCTTGGGGAAGAAAGAACCGAAATCGCCCAGACCTCAAAAGCCATGAAGGCATTTGGGTCTGAGAGACGGTTTATCCCTTAGTTTCCTGACTTCTTCCTGCTCACACTTMAAGATTGGGGATTAATTTTGCTGAATATTTTCCAGAGTGCCCTTTTCACTTCTTTGTTCCTCAGGCTGTAGATCAAGGGGTTCAACATGGGAATCACTACAGAGTAGAACACAGAGGCGACTTTGTCTGTGTCCATGAACTGGTCAGAGGTGGGCTGTAAGTACATGAAGATGATGGTGCCGTAGAAGATGGAGACGGCGGTGAGGTGGGAAGCACAGGTGGAGAAGGCCTTCTTCCGTCCTTCAGAAGAATGCATGTTTCGAATGGCCACGTAGATGAAGAGGTAAGAGATGAGGATGACCAGGAGGGTGAACAAGACATTGAAACCCACAACAATTAAGACATCCAACTGGCTGGTGTGTGTGTGTCAGAGCACKCGAGAGCCAGGAGCAGGGGCTTGTCGCAGAAAAAATGATTAATTTCATGAGGCCCACAGAAGGAGAGACTGAAGGTGTCTGCTGTGTGGGTGGAGGCATTGAAGAAGCCACAGACGTAGGAACCAAGAGTCAAGAGTGGGCACACACCCGCTGTCATGGTGGTGGTGTATTGAAGAGGCCTACACACTGCTGCATAGCGGTCATAGGCCATGGAGGCCAGGAGGTAGCACTCTACAGTGGCAAAACCCACAAAGAAGAAGAACTGAGCGGCGYATCCATTATAGGAGATGACCTTGTTCCCTGTGTGCATTGCAGCCACCATCTTGGGAGCCACAGCTGATGAGTAACTCAGATCTACAAAGGAGAGGTTACTGMGGAAGAAGTACATGGGAGTGTGGAGACGGGAGTCTAAGAGGATGATCACCATCATACCGCCATTCCCAACCAGAGTGATGAGGTAGATGAATAAAAATACCAAGAGGAGCAGCACCTGAAGCTTGGGGTCATCTGTTAATCCTAACAGGATGAACTCTGTCACTTCTGTGTTGTTCTCCATTGAAGTCAGCTTGAATTCACCTGGTGATTAAAGAAAAAAAAAAAGGCAAGGAAACTCAAATAAAATTATAAGAAAGGATGATAGAACAATATAAAAATAGAAAACTGGGCTGGGGATGTAGCTCAGTGGTAGAGTGCTTGCCTGGTGTGCTGGATTTTATCCCCAGCATCGCAAAAAGAAAAACTAATATATACCGAGAATGTACTCAAGTAAGATACAGGCTACATCAGTCTATTTTACTATAGTGTTTAATCCAGTGAGATAGGTGCTATTCTGCCTGCTTCATAGATAAGAAAATTGAGATTAGGTGAGTTTACTATTGGGAAAGTTTATCTAAGAAGTAAAAGTCAAAATCAGTTTATCCTTTTATGTTTCTCAATCCAAAGTCCATGAACTCGAAGGTTGAATTCTTCTACATACTCACATGATAAAAATACAAATTATGATTTGGATGTGTCTGACAGCATAGTACTTAAAATTTTACTGAGTTTTTTAAAATCCAAAAGAGAAAACTATGAAGTAGAAGTCCATTGTTCTGAGTCTTTTTCATTCCACTTCAAAGTATAGATTCACTAAAGAGTCTCTGAAATTTTCTGCGTCTTATGATTGATAGTATTAATTATAGAAGTCTTAATATCTGTATGACAGATACTGCTCCAAGGTCTCTGCCTGCATTTAACCCATTTAACCCTCATTCCAACAAGTTGGAAAGAAACTTATTATTTTCCACAATTTACACAAGGAAAAAAAAACTGTATTTATGATAATCTTCCACCTTTAATTTGTAATTTATACTTTACCTTTATAAACAATGCTCCATGATTGAAAACATGTAAACAGAGTACTTTTCCTTCTTACTTTAGTCTATTTCCTGTTGACAGTCTATTTTATATCTAGTTTCCTTTTCCCAACTACTATCTTCTCCTGAAATTGAGAATCTTTTCATTGGAACTCCATGGAGTGATATTATTATATAACAACAACAAAAGTAATCACTAATAATCACAGTGATACTACTACAAATAATAATAATAATAGTTAAGTGAATAATAATCAAATTCACATAAGTGAATAAGTGTTGGAGGTAGAATTAAAACACTTCCCAAGCATAGTGGCATTCACCTTCAATCTCAGCTACTTGGGAGCCTGAGGTAGGAGAATCACAAGATCAAGAACAGCCTGTGCAAATTAATAAGATCCTATCACAAAATAAAAAGGGCTGGAAATGTAACTCAGTGGTGGAGAGCCCAAATTCAATCCCCAACACTAAAAAAAAAATTTTAAAAACACAACTGCCGCAGTCCGGCTGCAGCAAAATAACCAGGGGGTGACGAGGAACTTGTGTAGATTGATACAGCAGGAGTGGGAGCCGTTTATTGTAGGACAGGAGGGGTATATATACATTCCACACAGCTTATCTTAATTAACATAAACTAGATACAGCAGTCAACCAATAAGGAACCTCCACACTTAATGGCTCCCTGGCTTTATTTCACAAACCACTCCCTCTGCAAAATGCCAGGCGCCATCCTGACTTGTTTACAGACTCTAACACACAACAAAACAAAACAAAACTAAAACCCTGGAGTGTTTGATACTAAATCCAGAGATTTTAAGGTTTTGTTTAAGGTCTTTGTGTGTTTATTCCTCAATTAAAACTGAGTGTAGGGGCTGGGGATGTGGCTCAGCGGTATTTCGCTCGCCTGGCATGTGTGCGGCCCGGGTTCGATCCTCAGCACCACATACCAACAAAGATGTTCTGTCCGCCGAGAACTAAAAAATAAATATTAAAAATTCTCTCTCTCTCTCTCTCTCTCTCTCTCTCTTAAAAAAAAAAAAACTGAGTGTAGCTGGGCACGTTGGTACATACTTGTCATCCTAGTGACTCAGGAGGCTGAGGCAAGAGGATCATGAGTTCATTGCCAGCCTCAGCAACTTATCAAGGCCCTAAGCTACTCAGTGAGACTCTAATAAAATATAAAAAAGGGCTGAGGATCTGGCTCGGTGGTTAAAGTTCAATCCCTGGTGCCAAAAAACAAACAAAAAACTGAGTTTATTCCCTCAGTTGAAACTAAACTCCTATACAATATATTGCTGTTAGGTAGTAATATACACTTACTACATAAATACCCATTTAATAAATATAAATATATGTATATATGAATTCATATATTTATGTGTATATATATCCACCTTGTATCAGAAGCCTTCGTAGTTGATCCTGCTTACATTTAAGTCCTCCCTTCCCTGAACCCTCAGAGCTCTTGATTTTAGCTGATTATTACACAATTAGTTGGGCAACCACCCAGCTCCTCAGCATGCTCTGCACTCCTGTATTCATCTCTTCTGGGCTCACACAGCCTACCCCTTAGGCACATAAATAAATAYTTGCTGAATTAAATAGACCATCAATGGCAAAGTATTGAAATATTTTTTCAGACTATTTAATCTCATATCAAACAGGCTATTGTTCTCTTGTCTAGCTGGGTGCACACTTCCTGCCAAAATATTAGCTTAGACTTATGGAATGAAAAATATTCAGAAAGAACAGTTTGTTTGGAGACAGCAGGGCTTGGAGAAAGGCTTATGTGCTAATTTTAGAGCATTGTCTCCCCCCCCACCCCACCCCATTGTTTTTCCTCATCCTGAGTTGTTCACAAGCTTTCCCTGCCCCTGGTAGCAGAATGGGCAGGAGTGAGCTTASAAAAGGGAAGAGAGGAAAGAAAGGGAGAAAATGGAATAGAAGGGGAAAAAAGTGCTTTGGTTCTGCTTGGCCTCAACTGGTCTTGGAGAACAGCTACAATCAGATTGGTGAAGAAAGATTTTCTATAACACATAAAGAAGAGGACAATCCAGCTTGTCCTGTTTGGACAATCATGCAAGCCGTGTGGCTGGTTTCCCAAGACCTGGCTCAGCCAGCCTGGGAGGGCACTGAGACAGAGACCCTGATAATACTCCGCACCCTCCCTTTCACCTTTGTGAGGAATGCTACAGTAGAAACCCCGCAGGTGTCATCTCTCGCCTTCTTTTTTTTTCCTCCTTCGAACAACTTCTTAGAATATCATGTTTTCATCCTTCTTTCACTTTGTAGATTTCCATCCGCCAGTAAGCACTGTCCGTTACATCTATCCAGCCCTTTTAACTTTTTGACAGGTACAATATTTTGTCACCTGTGGTAGGCAGTGTCCTGATCTTACATATGTAGTGTCCTCTAGATCACACGACTACCTCATTGTAAATCTGCACACTTTTCCAGGACCAGATTTCTCAACATCAGCACTATTGTCATGATGGACTGGATAATTCTTGGGTGCAGAGGAGCCGTCCTGTGTATTATAAAATATTGAGCAGTTTCTCTGGCCATTAGCCACCAGATTCTAGAAACACCACCCACTGCCACCAATTTGTAATAACCAAAATGTCTTCAGACATTGCAAAATGCCCTAAATGTCTCCTGAGGGGTAACATTTCCCTTGGTTGAGAACCAAGTTTTAGAGTGTGTGTGTGTGTGGGGGGGGTGGGGATTAAAGAAGTTCTAGAGTTTCTAAAACATTTGTATTCATATCTTCATTCAATAATTATATGATTGAATAGATAGATAGAGATATGGATGTGAAGAATCTGACACATTGAAAGATGAAGTGAATAGTTCAAGGTCTAAAGCTCCATCCAGATCTTTCCACTCATTTGTAGGGGGAGTCCAGGAAGAAATAACTTCTGGCAAACTATTGTGATTCTTTGACTAAGGAGATATCAACCCTTTCATATCACAACCAACCTCTTTTCCCTGACACATGATAAGATTTAAAAACACAGAAAAAAACTCCAAGAATGAAATGTAGCTGACTTGAAGTAAATTCCAATTTTTTTTTCCAAAACACCTCAAGGACTTAAACAATCATTAAAGGAAGGAAAGAAGGAAGGAAGGAAGGAAGGAAGAAAGGAAGGAAGGGAGGGAGGAAGGAGAAAATATTACTGACCATCTGAGTAATACAACATGTTCCCCATATTGAACTGTACCAGATTGCTATCTTTATCTAATATGAATTAATACCCAAAGTTCTTTCTGGATTCTCTTTATGAGCAACCCTTTCCTTGATGCATTATAGTTTCTGTTAATAAACCTGACCAGATCCAGAGCAGCAAGAAAAATTTTATATTCAGAGGAGAGAGGAAAGGCCTCTTATACCCAGCACCACCCCTAAAGGATTGTGAGGCCTACATCCAAATCCTAGTGTCGCTGCTCTGTATCCTCCAACCCAAGTTCTGTAGAGACCAGGCTTTTTTCATTGAGCCTCAAATAAATATCAAAAGAATTCTTGAAGAAAAAAAATCATTGGAAAAAATCTAAGGAAAGTGTATTTAAAACTGAAAAAGCATTTATAATTTAAGAGATTATTATCATTAGAAAGGAGGAGTCTAAGCCATCCAGATAGTTTAGAATAAAAAGTCTCATTCAAAATTGCTTATTGGGCTGGGGCTGGGGCTCAGTGGTAGAGCACTTGCCTAGCATGGGTAAGGCACTGGGTTTGATTCTCAGAATCATATATAAATAAATGAATAAAATAAAGTTCCATTAATATCTAAAAATATATTTTAAAAAAAATGGTTGTAAAGGGGGTTGAAGAATCGCTCCCAGTCATCACACCCCATTTGGCAAGTTCCAAAGATTTTCTACAGAATGACTAAACTCCAGGAAGGAAGAGACAAGGGCTGTGTTCTTTGTCACTGCTTTGWCTGTTATCATCACTGCCTAGACGGGTTGCTGGTACACAGTGGACTTAAATACCTGTTAAGTGAATTAATGGAGTAGAATTTCAGCAGTGGAGTTAGATCTTTAATGTTTTCTGGTTTGGGATTATAAACAAGTCAATTTCCCCCCTGTCCAGGAGGATGAAGTAAGATAAAGTAAGGGAGAATCCAGTCACTGCCTAGCCTATGGTAGGTGCTCAGCACAAACTAACTTATTAACAACAATATGTCGATGTCTAAGTGAATGTGTT